TGAACCCTATTCTGGCGCCCGTCATTTATCAAGCTACATTCACTTGACTACATGAGGATTCGTGACACTAGGTCTTTGTCTTCTATCTGAGAATGAAATGTGAACACTGTAGTAGATCTTGAAACAGTGCAATATGGCTCCAAAACCTATCCATGAGTCACTTGCTGCGGTGTTAGTGGACGTGGGGTTTTCCAAGGATTTGGCTTTGTCCAATAGAGGCAAATAGCGTCTAATAAGAACTAATAGTTTCCGATAGCCGCACTCCCCAGAACCTATTGGAAGATAATAGTGTCTAATAGCATCCAATGGTGCCTGATAGTCTCATTGTAGGGTTTTGGCTGCATTGCAAGAATAAACGACAGGTCTCTGAACTGGGGGGGGTATGTGTGGGGGGGGGTGTCTGGCTTCGTATGATTCAAAGCAAAAACAACTATGATGCGAGCCATGTGCGGGCGAGCAGCTGATCCTCTCCCGAAACTCGGAGTTGAAGGGACCGCAATACCTATGCAAAATGCTGAGCACGACATGATAAGAATGCGCAACAAACAAAGGGATGGTCACGTCACAAATGCCCCAGCCAAAGCCTGCACACTGATTGTCTAGCCGGAAATCCCAGATTGCATATTGAGACCATGGCTGACTGCTGCACAATGTGTTCACTATAAGAAACATGTCAGATTCACAACATCACCAACCAATGCCAGTCTTCGCGAAGCAAACGTCGTTGCATCCTGCAGTTGCTGTAAAGCACCATTTCGCCTACCTTGCCAGCTGTTGAGAGAACAACACTGCCTTGTATAGCTCCAGCAACACTATGCTTAGAAAAGGCTATTGCAATTAGCAGTTTTATTTAGCGGCAATATTATGTGAGCTTGCTAAGGATCTAGCGCTTCTCCCAAGATCTTGCCAGAGTTTGGCATTCCTGCCTCTGTCCAGCGATCTTTCTCTCCTCCTAAGCCAAGAAGCAAACGGTTCGCGGCTTCCTGACAAAAGCTTGCCAGGAATCAAAACAACTCTGACACAAGACAACGCCAAGAAAGATATGCAACGCCGAACTTACAACAGCCAACGACTTCAAGCAAGCTATGTGCAAAGTACTGCCCGACAGGGCGAGGAACCGTGCGCTTCTTTGCTGCATCCTTGTTGGCCTCGCTAGAAAAGTGCAAAACCCCGTGGAATTTCATCTGCGCGTCGTTGCAAAAGCCTCCAATTCTGCTTTCGCGTGATATGCGGCTTGCAGTTGCCGATCCTGCGCTCAACAATGACAATCCAGTGAGCATGCGTTGTTGGGCACGCCGTCTGAGAGCCCGTCCAATGCTGCTACTTCATTCTGCACTCTGGTGAGTTCTGCTTCTGCCTTAGATTCGCAGCTGCCGCATAACGCAAGTTTGACAAGTTGTGGTAAGCCCGCCATGAAGAACCAGCTTCGCTTGAGAAATGCTTTGCTGTCAAATGCGGCTGTGATTTCTGGCTAGGCATTCTTTCCATTGGTAAGTGTCTCTCTGCGCAGCTGGAGTGCCCAGTTAAATTGCATGATGCAAAGACCAGTAGAGATACGTAAGAGTCTAAGGGCCTGAGATGGGACCAGACAGAAACTATCACATTATCAGAACGAGCTCAGACATTTCTGCATCTGGAACCTCGCTTTGTCGGCCCTCAGAGGAGGCTTATGCAAGTCGTTGCCCTCAGTTACATCACCTTGAGTCAGTTGCGCCCGTTCATCCCATGCGCGCAGTAAATGCGTAGAAGTTCCCCTTGCTTGCGTATGCTTGGGCGAACTCCGCTCAGATCGTCAATGCATGCTTTCGCGTCTGGCCTAGACACAAGACAGTTAAGTTTCACTGCTACTCTGGCACTTAAATATAAGCACTACGATGCACTGCGCACCCCATTGCTCGGTTGACCTACTGGTGACCTTCCTGTTCCATACCGTATTTCTCTGAGGGTGCCATGTGCCTGGATGTTGCTGTCTTCATCCGTATGGGACTTGGTCGGTTGGGTGCGGGGAGTAACAGGAACCAATTTGGGGAGTGATAGAAACTGATTTTCCAAGCCTTTTACAGAAAGAGTCTGCGTCAGTAACGGCAACCGGCCGACGATGTACAGGAACTACTGCAGTGGAGAGCCGAAAGCAAAAGCAGGACCAATTACACGGCACCGGAACCTAGCAAAGTGGGGACAAAATCCGTCCCTCCCAATGACGGCTTCTTTGTCGCGCAGATGAGGCACTAGCCTGCAGAGACGTCCTAAGCAAGGAATCGAACACGAGCGCGTAATAGCTAATTACGACCGGATGCGTCCTACTTGTAGGTGGGGAACCGGAATTCGGTCCCCCTCTTAAAGGGCGTTTGAGGCTGTCTGGAAGCATGCTTGGAGTCTTGGAGTTCCAGTCCGCTTAATCTCCCCCGACGGTTCCCTGTACAGGCGGGCCGGCTAGCACGTTACGGGGACGTTTACAAGTCCGGGCTGGGTTCTCGGTACAAGTCACGGTTACGGACAGCTGGTGCCTGTTCCCTCCAACCACCTTTGATGTGCAACCACGGCATGCCAGATCTCAGGCAGCGCACAAAAAAACAATTTCGGACCAGAATCATGTCTCTTGGGCTGATCATGGAATTGTGCCATATTTCCAAATAGTGCCAGTGTCGCATTGCTGCCTTTTAGCAAGCATATCTTCGTGTTGTGCTCAGAGTTGCCTGTCAACCAGCGCCAAATAGTGCTGCAGGCATGACACGCTTGGCTTTCGCAGCTGCGAATCTTGTGATTTGGATCTTGCGTAGGATAGATTTGTGGGGAGTCCCCCATTAAGACAGACCCTCTAAGAAAGACGTCTTCAAAGAGGATTGCATAAGCGAACCTGGGGATCTGCCTTTTTGGCGTGCCTTGACCATGAGCTTCGCAATTCTGACAGTCTGCACTCCTGTCATAAGAACACAGTTGTGCTATGTTTGGATATGTTTGGGGCCTGTGCCTTTGCCCCCGAACCCTCCCGCTCACTCCCGCCTAACTGAAGCACATCATACTTCTCCCAGCGTCACTAGATATGACTGGCAGGGTCAAGCATATCCACGGAAACCTCTCGCTCGGTTTTGAGTGTTACCTGCAGTCGCACCTGCATCATACGAAGCATGAAGTGCCAACATCAACCGCATTTGGTAGTTTACATATCTTTCCGGAAAATTGGCTCAATCGGTGCGTTGGATCAGATAGCCCCCTATTGCAGTCATTGCATGACCGGTGCTGCCAAACGAGTTGCTGCCGCAGAATTTCGCACATAACTACCTGCCAAGTCACTTCTGCTAATTCTTGCCGTGCTTTGTCAAGCTTCGCTTCCTGTACCTGAAAAAGATAGCCATGGACAGTCTAGCGACACCTGCACAGAGCGACGATGCCGCATAGACACCTACTTGATGAAACCGGATCATCACGCATGAGCTGCAGTAATCTTCCTGAAGTCATGCCCTGCAGTTCAATGGACCCCTCTCTTTTTGAGACTGGCTCGGCCTTCAAATAATCCATCTTCGGCTTCACAATCTTTGAAGCTTCATGGTACATGACCATGGCCCCAACCTTGGTGCGGCAAGCGCGTCATGATAAGATGGATTCGCCCCTGGGGAGACCAAGGAGGGAAGCGGTCGAGGTGCAAATTTGCAAAGCCCCTCAGCGGCAGCATTGGCTTTTCTTGCTAGTGCCTGGTCGAGCCTGAGCAGAGACATGCGGAAGATGGAAACTTCAAGAAGCCAGCCAGGATCCCGTTCCGAGCTTTTGACACGGCATGTTTCCAGGTTGACCAGTGCCTGTTCGGATCCGGATCATAGCCTGGCAAACAGGACTCGAGAAACATTCAGATTGCTTGAAGTGCTTCATGTGTCAGTTGGGCCGCCCACGCAAGTAGGGCTCAATAAGCTCGCACGTCTCATCCTTGCACATGAACGTAGCAGACACGTGCCGGGTGAACATGAAGAACGTGACAAACTTTCTGCACCGTCGCCTACGTACACTTTTCTACATTCAATTGTTGGGCCCTCGGAAGTCAAGCAAGAGCCTGGCTCCAATATTTGAACAAGCAAGATGGTTGGTGGCGTTGAGTTCTCTAGCTTGCAGTAACTCAAGTCGCCGCATGAAGGCAAGCTATCCAGTCGGTCACAAGAAGCAAAGACTCATTCACCCCAGCCAAGTCGGCAAAAACAAAAGGCATGAGCTTAAGACACTGTACGCAGGCCCTTGCTTACCCCATTGAAGCCCCTGAAGCAAATTGACACGTTGTCACTGTCTCTCTCAGAGCTGGCCACAGCCGAGCAGCTGCGAGCTTGGAGTTCCACAAGCCGCTTTACAGCTGTGCTGGTGAGGCATAGTGCTGGACTGAATGCATGTTCTGGGCTTGAAGCGCTGCTCGCTGCTGCTCTCACGCACAAAGCGCTGCCCAACAGACAAGAGGAGTGCAAAGGTTCAGGAAGCAGGTTGTCATACAACTACTTTCAGTTGTCAGCACTTCGTCATCATTGGCTGTTGACGCAGGAACCTGACTGGGCCGCAATTGGGTCTTCAACCTGCAGCTGTTGTCAGCAGTTCTCCTCTATGACGAGCAGGGCGGGGCCCCATTTCTGTGACTGCACAGGGACAGTTCGCAATCTGCGAGGCAGATGTGAGGCTGGTACAGTACAAGGTTGAGTCAAAGCTCATTCGTACACAGCATTTGCTACTTGAAGCCACCAGCAAAGACGTCCCACATATGCTGCACTTGACGGAAAGTAGTCGAATAAAACAATTCAGGGACAGGCGGATCTCTGGCCATGAGCTCAGTGCTCGGCATTGATTCCATCACGCTGATACTCGGCCTTATGATGCAAAATCGTCATTCACATGTGTACCTTTTGGGCTTTTGGCCGAGTTCTCACGGTAGCTGATTCTGCTAAGTGCTTGACGAAGTACTTCAGATTCCTTAGGACTTCATCTGACAATGCAGATTTAGGAGCCACATGCCAAACCTGAAAAGCCCACACCCCCCAGAGTCACATGTGTGTGCTCCATCTCTCTTAGAGCTTCTAGTAGCACTGACGCTTCAATGCTGGCCTAGCACGGAGTGTAGCCTGATGCTCTGGCAAAGGACCAACTGCATTGTGCCGCGCAAAACACCTCCAAAATCCTCCAAACATTTCTGACGGGCTTACATCTGCTTACCGTTGACCGTGCCCATGGGTGGCAATGAGCTGGACGTGTCAAGGTTTGGCTGCACCACAGTCAGCAAAACAAGGAAGACGGATCTGAAGGAGCGCACGCATTGCACACAAAGTGCGAGATGGCAGGCAGTAGACATATGCTAGGAGAAGCACGTGCGAACAAGCCCCTTCTCAGTAGTCTGTCTGTCAGATCTGTGGTGGCAGGACTGCAACTACGGAATCGAAAGCTGGCTGACAAATGCGCGCGCTAAATTGAACTTTGGTCTCTCCCCTGGCCACACTATGCATCTCATGTGGCGGCGCCCTCTCTGGCCGGCATAAGGTCTAGGCTGAAGGCAGCAGCTTGCATGCCATGTACTCACTATGTTTTCGTCAAGCTTCTTCAAGAAGTTAATGTCCGCCAACATGCCTTGACGAGTCAGTACGCATGTCTTTGCTAGTCAAGGCTTCAGGCGCCTGCCTTTCGCGTGCTCATCAAAAGAATCTTTAATGAACGTGCCAGTGACCTGCAGTTCAGAATTGGTGAGGTGCAGGCAACCTTCAGATCCATCGGGTCGTGCCTTATTGATCACTTTGTCCTCAGGCTTCACCTCTTGGCCAGATGAATTTCTACGATGTAGCAAAAGCGAAACACACCGTTATGCTGCCACGCTATTTCTCTGTGTAATCGCTTCCCGCTGGGCAAGCCCTACTGCCCGGGTGCGAGGTGACACACGTTCCAATTGTAGCAGGGGTCATGGACAATGTCTTGAGAAGCATCCAGCAGTCGGTGCCGGCGGCACTCAAGGCTCATTTGTGTAAAGAAGGTTGACTACTGCAATGTTTGAAAATGTAGTGCACGAGGCACTTCATGTAGCTTGCCTATTCAGTTAGCACAGAACTTGCAGTAAGTGCTGTCCAAATTCCAAATTGCGTCTTGCAGTGCCTCTGTGCGGAAGACAGTGCAGGGGGGGCAGGGTGTCGCAGTCTGGAGTCCAGGCCTCTACAACCTTCAGTCCCAAGAGCAAGAGAACACCATCGAAGGTGTACTTCACCTAAGTCATGGGCAGAGTGGGCAGTCAGCACGGCGCAGCACGGCTCTCCCTCTCTGCAAAATTTGCACACTTCTCTCAACGAGAAGCCGACGATGTCAACAGGAGATTTGTTGCCTTTGAGCTCAACAATATCCTGGCACATGCAGCAAATGCCTTGAGCGCTGGCTACGCTTCATGCACCTTGTCTTTGATGGACTGGCAGGCAGCATTTGCCTAAAAACGTGTGAAAAGGTGATTGAGTGAGGGGTTTGAGCTCTGCAGCTTTGCCAGCTTTGCCTCATGCAAGTACGGGAGAGCTTCCTGGAGCTGGCGGTTGGCCTCCCACATCCAAGACAACGGCACCATCGGCAGCACATCTGAAAGTCCGTTCTGCCTCCTCCTTGTCTTCATTAATTGACGCGGCATTTGCTTCACAGTCCTGTGGAAGTATGCACATGAGCACCTCTCGAGACTGCCTTTCGCCGGAGTACGATCCTTCTTGATGCTGCCAACTTCTTCAGCCTTTTTCTCAGCCTTTGCTTTCTCCCCCTGCACCTTGATTGGTCAGCACGCGCATTTAAAGGCCTTACTTGCAGCAGAATCATGCTGGTGGTCTTTGCATTCCCCAGCCATAGGTTAACATGTGGCATGTGGCCTTTACTAGAAGCTTGTTCGTCTTGTCATCCTCCTTCCTCAGGATCTCCTCTTGAGCTTCCTCAGCGATTAGTGGCTCTTTTAGCGATTGCGCGGTCTTGAATGGTTGCCGTGATTTCCCAGCAGAGCTATGTCTGAGTGCCCAGCAATCTCTGCCTGGCACCATCTCGTCAGCACAAGGAGTGGCAAGAACAAACGGAAAGCAAACCAAGCGCAACCATCCGGTGAACCCACCCCCGCACAAATTCCAGCGCCAGCACCTGCATGTGGACCACGTTTTGGGCTGCCTGCACAGGAATGCGGGGCAACCGCAACTTCCGTTGAACCCCGTCTGTTTCTCTTGCTTGTTTTCTACAATAAGATGCATTGTAAACAAAGCCTTTTTCCAGCTTTCCTAGGTGTTTTCCATGTGTGGATGAATTGCCCGGGAAATTTCAGAGGATCAGAAAACAGCGATTTCTTTCGTAGAATTAATTGAAAAATGAAATTCTCCAGCTTTGATGTATTTTTCTTCCGTTTGCGAACGAATTTCCTGGCAAATTCTATAAGTTTCAGAAAACGTCGATTTCTGAACCTTCAAAATTCCGCTCTTTTCTGACGACAAAAAATTGGACATGAACGAATATGTTGTAAGTACCTGATTTTCGGAAAAATGTATGTATGCATGAACTCATAGCAAACATTTGCCAAAACCAGCAGACGCGTTACATTTGGAATTTGAAGATGAGGCATGAAAGCGAAAGAATAAATAAAAGCCCCGGGTGTCGTGCCGTACGGTTGACGTGATCCTTGGACGCCAACGGCAAACAGTTCTACAAAGGATTATGGCACCAAAGCCTTTGCATGGAAAACATAATTTTGGATATGGCTAGATGGGCAAAAGACGTGAGTAAGGTTTGCAAACAAAACTTGTTTTGTTGGCGTTTGCGACAAAGGTGAGATGCATGATGCGTGGCTCTGGTCTATTGTATTGACTGTTGCTGGCTGTTGACCTCGTCGAGCTTGCGCAATCCAATGATGACACTTTTCTCGAGGACCTTGGCGTGTACAGTGCAAGGTCTAGTCTGTGCAGGCAGAGCATGGTTGAGAAGGGAAATTGACGGAAAGCAGGAAGGTGGGCTGGATGCGTTGACTTCCTCATGCTTGAGCTCATAGAGCTTCTTGTAGTACTCGATGAAGCAGAGAAAGCTCCTGCAGGACACCATCAAGATCTGACTTGCACCAAACTCCAGATGTCAATTGGGGTGAGTGGGGTGAATAGAATAGTTGCTTCTGGACACAAAAATATGCAAAAATAAGGTCGGGTAGATGCGATCACGGGCTCGGGCTACGCAGGCACAGTGCGGGCACGCAGGTCGCATTGATATCAACATCAAAGCCCAGATGCCCCGGGAAACATCCTGTCAATACTAGGGTTGTCACTTCAAAGCAGACCTCGGCAAAGCTTGTACAACGGTTGGGCAGCATTTTGTCACTGGATTCATTTCAGACCAGCACAGGTCTGCTGCATCCTCAGAAAAGTTATGAGGCCTTTAAGATTCCGTACCTGCACTCCAGCAGTCGCAGCAAAAAAAACGCAGCAACACTGCTTCCAGAGCTGATGGTTGTGGTGAATCTGGCGGTAGTACTAGGCCTGGTGGTCGTCGTCATCATTGTCGTGGTTAGCGTCGTCGCTGTTGCAGTTTTGCAGGTGTTCTGGTACTGGTGGCAACAGCAGTGGTAACAATAGTAGAGGTAGCATATGTAAACGTCGTCGTAATAGTCGTCAGTCGTCCGTCGTCGTCGCCGTCGTAGTGGTAGTGGTAGTGGTA